TCTGGAAATAATCCCTCCTTTCTCTAAAACTTAAGTGCTTTTTATTTATACTACTCATGGTGCATATGTGCACGCACACGCATGCACACGCGCACACACACACACATTATTTACTAACATGTCTTATCTGCTCTATTAAAATGTATACTTCTTGAGAGTAAGGATTATATTATCTCTGAATCCTATGCAGAACCTATCACAAAACTTTGACCCTTATAAATGCCATCTACAAATATATTTAATAGGCTAAATAATTTCAAAATCAGGACTCACCATGGAGGTATCCAGATTCAATGTGCTTCCGGGCCTAGGCACATCTATTCTGGGTTCCATTTGTGAGGGTAATGAAAATGGAAGTGAGTGCCGGTTGGTTAATTCTCTCCCTTTCCAGGGGTCACTAGGGTTTGGGGCAACTACTGGTACTTTGGGGATTGGCCGAGGCAGCCATAATTCCCCAACGCGGCTAGAGGGGACAGGGGGCAGTTTGTCCCTGGATGGACAGTCGCCTGGTGTACAAGGCAAAGGGCGTCTCTGAGGCCGGGTTTCTGCTGCAACAGAATAAGGCCGGTCTGGAGGGGGTGGTGGTGGAAGATCCCGAAGTGTGGGAGGTATTGGTAATGGTTTGTCCTTATGAAGGGAGCCAGAAGCAGCCTGTGGAAGCATGATGGAAGCAAGTCAATTAAAACCTACTAATCCATAATAAAGAATCGGAAAACCATAGAAATGAATAATGCTTTACCTTAGAAGCAGTTCCAAGACCAGAAGCACTTGAAGGAATAGATACTCGTTGTTGCAGAAGGTCAAGTCGTGGTGGCACTGGGGGAAGGGAAGCTTGTGGGGTCATGGAGAATGGAGAAGGAGGGCGTTCCACCTAACACAAAGAAAATTTCCTAATAGGTTATTCTTGCTTGGGGGAGCGGCATCTTTCAACTCCTAAAGCTGCAGAAAGCAAGCACTATATTAACACTGACTATAACTACCAGTGAGTGAGGTCAGGCTTTGGCCTGGGGTAGCACTTCCTGAATTATTTTCATGTCACCATAAGAGGGCAGTCTCAATCACAGAAATATCATGCAGATGCAAGCTACAGGCAAACGTATCTAGAAATGACTGTGCTACAAAAAGCTTCCTAGTTTACAATTTTTAAAAAATAATTTTCCACCTCCTCATCTTCAGAGAAAGAAAAATCTGTTCCATATTAAAAACCAGAACCCATATAAAAAGAAAGGGGCAGACATTAACCCCTCAACCAATCACCTAAAAAAATAATGTTTAAGGGGCAGAACAATAAAAGATCAAAGATGATAAATTCAATGTGGGTTATTATGAGAAAAAAAGAAATCTGTAAGAAGAAAATATTATCACTAAAAAGCATACTGAATACTTCTGAAAAAAATAAGTTATTTTAATTCAGTAAATAAAAGAGATTAAAATTTTATGTCTATTTGTGTTCTAAAAAACGAGGTACCAAATTAGAAGAAACAATACATGTATATAACCTTTTCCATTTCCCTGTCTATAGTAGGGTGATGAATATGTGATAAGCTTGTCCAAGTACCTGTCAAAAGATATACAGTAATTCATACAAAATGCTACTTTGCATTCTATAACAGAGAGCAACGCAGATAAAATAGAGGCAAATAAGTATTACAAGCACTTATGTAAGATTATAGAAAAATGATCATACTCATACTTAGTCCTGCCATTAATGCTAGGTAGTGAATGAGACTAAAGAAAGCCCTCATCATTGCCTACTTGTTTTTACTCATACTAAAGAAAATGGGCTCCATGTCAATGGAGCATGAGTAATGAATATGATGAGCAGCTAAACACCTCAAGGGTTAAGAAAGTGAAAAGTTATAGTCAAGTTAATTCTCACCAATTTATCATCAATTTCTAGTCAGTCACTATATTGTTAATTTGTCCATATCTATATCTTTCTTTTCATTCTATTTGTCAATCTTGGACTCGACTTATCAAAACCACTTTGGAGTTATTCCCCCAACTTCTAGTTTATTTCATCAAATCCTTTTGCTCACCATTACCTGCGTAACTATTGTAAATACTCACTAGCTCAAAAACCATTCATCAGTAACTCTCACTTGCCCACAATGCTCTATCCTAGAATTCTCACCTGTTTGCCTTTGTTCAAGCTGTTTTCCAATTTGAAAGGCCCTCTCTGCCTATTCTGATCCCTCTCAGCATCCATCCCTCTTTCTCATGCCTAAAGTACAACAGAGGGTTAAGCTAATCATATTCTTCAATTCATGGCACCACATCATAACCAATCCCTGCAATGTTCTTTTATATCAACATATAATTAAGTTACAGAAAAGGAGAAAAACACAAATGGAGAAGAAATTATCAAAGAAATAATACGAGACATTTCCAAGACCTAAGGGACATAAATATCCATTGAAAGAGTTCAATGTAGAGCTAGCCCAGTGAAGAAAAGGAAACCTAAACAAACAAACAAACAAACCAAAACACCCTTAAATTTTCAGGGAACCAAGGATAAGCAAAATAACCCAAAAGCTTCTGGAGCTAAAAGGAAACAGGGCAACAAATAGAAAAATTACTCTAGGGTTGATTAAAGACATTTTAAGATACCAAAAATCTCAAAAATTTTACCTCTCGCCTATCATAGAAAGCTATTTTGAGGACATATTCCACTCAAACAAGGAAGTAAAGCAAAGAGAAGGAAAAAACGGGAGCCAAGAAATAGGCACTACAACACACAGGTGAGGCAAAGAAAAGTCCCATGATGAAGACTTTCTCCCAGACAGAAGTGCTGGCAAAAGCCATTCTTGTTTTGCTGAGCTCTGCCAGCATCTACCCTGCACAAGCATGGAAAGGCAGGCCCCATCTGAGTCTCCACCAACCTACCTAACACTGTTTGCCTTGCCCTGGTGATTCCACGAGATCCTGTCCCCCCGAGGACCTGTTCACCCACTTCCAGTAGCTCTTCCAAAAAAATGCCCTGGCCTGGCTTACTAAGCAAACTTTCTAAAATCTCTCAAAGGTTCACAAACCCCAAACAAGCAGTAGCTGGCTTTGGTATGCCAAGTATCTCTTGCTAAGCAGCCTTAAGCTTAGCATTAGTGGCAGCCAGCCTCAATCTCACAGCTCATCCTCTCCTAGGCACCTCCAAGACCAGCAGAAGTGGCAATCATCTACAGATCAATATGCACCTCATACCAAGTAGCCCTGGGCTGGTCACAAGGAGTGGCTGACCTTAGTTTACACCAGAGCCCCTCCCAAGAGGCCCTAGAATCAACACAGGCGGTGGCCAGCTTCAGACCATACCACAGCACCACCCAATCACCTCCACAAATGACATACCCAAAGGGCAGACTGCACAAGCACCAGATCCCCGCTAAAGCAAATCTGCTCTGTAGGGCCAGCCCCTACACAACAGATCCTCCACTGTAATCACAGCCAGTCCTCACAACCAATTAACCTAAGAGTCAATCTCTCCCACTGATGTGTCAACAGTAACCAAGGCTCAAATATAATAGGGGAGCACATACAACTCATACAAGGGACATACCTGGAGCACCCGGCTCAGGTGATCAGGGAGACTGCTCCACCAGGCCACACAGAATATCTACTACATAAGGCCACTCTACTAACACCGGGAGACATAATAGCAGCCATATGTAATACATAGAAACAAATGTAGGGAGGCAGCAAAAATGAAGAGACAAAGAAACATGTCCCAAATGAGAACAAAGCTCCAGAAAAAAAAAAACAATGGAGACAAGCAATGTACCAGATGCAGAGTTCAAAACATTGGTTATAAGGATGCTCAATGAACTTAGGGGAAAAGTAGATGAACTCAGTGAGAACTTCAACAAAGAGACAGAAAACACAAAACTGGAGTAGGAAACATAAAAAAGAACCAGTCAGAAATGAAGAATACAATAACCAAAATGAAGAATATCTTAGAGGGAATCAACAGTAGATTAGATGAAACAGAGAATCCAATCAGCAATTTAGAAGGTAAGGTAGCAGAAAACACCCAAACAGAACAGCAACAAGAAAAAAAAAGAATCCTTAAAAAATTAGGATAGTTTAAGGGGACTCTGGGACAACATCAAGTGTACCAACATGCACACAACAGGGGTACCAGAAGAAGAGAGAGAGGAATTGAAAACCTATTTGGGGAAATAATGACGGAAAACTTCCCTAACCTGGCAGAGGAAATAGATGAACAAGCCCAGGAAGTGCAGACTCCTAAACAAGATGAACCTAAAGAGGCCACACCAAGAAACATCTTAATTAAAATGCCAAAGGTTAAAGACAAAGAGAGAGTCTTAAAAGTAGCAAGAGAAAAGCTGTTAGTTACCTACAAGGGAGCTCTCATAAGACTGTCAGCTGATTTCTCAACAGAAACTTTGCAGGCCAGAAGGGATTGGCATGAAATATTCAAAGTGCTAAAAAGCAAGTACCTATGATCAAGGTACTCTATCCAGCAGAGCTATACTTTAGAATCAAAGGACAGGTAGGGAGATTCCCAGACAAGAAAAAGCTAAAGATGTTCATAACTACCAAACCAGTCTTACAAGATGCTAAAAGGACTTTGTTAAGAAAAAAAATAAAAAATATGAATAATAAAATGGCAATAACTACATATCTATCAACAATTATTTTATTTTTTTCAACAATTACTTTATTTTTTACAGCAAAAAATTTTTATATTTAGAGTAAGCCAGCTGAACTCAGTTTAAATGATCCCAATTTTGTTGGCAAGATCCAAAGCATCATTTAGTCGAGAGCCAGCCGAATATATGCCTTCTCTCTATTAGGCCTGATCACAGTGTTGACTTTGGCCATATCAATGTCAGAGCTTCTTCACAGCCTGTTTTATCTGGTGCTTATTGGCCTTGACATCCACAATGAACACAAAATGTAGTGTTGTCTTCTATCTTCTTCATGGCTGACTCAATAATCAGGGGGAACTTGATGATAGCATAGTGGTCAAACTTGTTCCTCCAGGGGAGCGGGGGCGCTCTTCCAATATTTGGGTTGCCTTCGGAGTTGCAGTGTCTTGGGCTGTCGGAAGATGGGTGATGTGCCTATCTTCTTATTTTTGTGTGTGGATTTGGATGCCTTTTAGCAATGCTTTCTTTGCCTTCAAAGCCTTTGCATTGGCTTTGGCTTTGGGAAGGGCAGGGGCTTTCATTAACGTGGTGGAGTGAGAGATGTGCCCAGATCTCCCCCCTTGAAACAACAATAAGCTTAACATCTAAAACTCAACAAAAAAACACCCAACCTGCACACGAAGAACGTGCACACAAGCACAAAAGAACTACCACAGGTCAGAACCATGGGAGTTGGGCAGTAGACTGGGAGAAACGAAGATGCTGCCTCTCATAGCCCGAGCTCCCTGCAGGAGGAAGGGGAGGGGAGAAGGTGCGGCGGATTCCCTGAACAGCCCTGCCTGAGAGAGCTGTGAGCAATACATGGCAGTGCCCAGGGATCAGGACAGAAAGCAGAAAAGTGGGGACAGTACAGAGGTGGGGACAGTACAGAGGTGGGGACAGCAGATAAGCAATAGTTGATTTTTACCAGCGGCGGGAGCAAAACGCAAGGCTGAGTTGCAACCCCTGTCCCCCAACCCAGAGTGCCCATCACCCCATACCCTCTAAGACCAAACACTATGGAGCCCCAGGGGAATCTGAGCAAACACTACCGAAACTATCATTAACACTGACAGGGACTGAGAGTAGTGAGTGTGATTGAATATCTAAAAGAAAAAAAAAGGCATTATTAAGACTTTATATAAAGAAAGAATCCAGACTCTTTGGTGGAGTGAGAGACATCCTCAGATATCTCCCCTTGAAACAATAATAAGCTGAACACGTAAAA